ACTTGTCTGTTCCCCTTCCCCCAATTCCCCAGCACTGTTCCCATCCCCGCAATTCCCCAATAAAAATCTTTAAAAAAAAAAAAAAAAAAAAAAAAGAATGCTGCTTGGTTTATCTCCCCGCACTCCCCACCTTTCCTTTAGGGATTGGTGGTTCCATTCTCTTTTTTGTACTGGTTACCGAATAACTTGATGTTTCTTAGAGAAGGCACAGTTTTGGGGCAGCTGGACGCCTAAGGCATGGGAAAAGGCCAGGCCAGGCTCAGAGCCCTGCTGAGACCCTCAGGAACCATGTTAGCAGAGCTTGTTACTCCATCTCTCTGAGCCCATAAAATGGGGGGATGGGGGGATGGGCGGGGGCAGCTTTTAAGTGCCAGGTTTAGTGCGCAGCATTTAGTGGGGAATCCACACCAGTGACAACTGTTATACCTAATGCAGAGTTGGGTGCTCTGGGAGTCCAGACAAGAACACCATCTAAAACGGGGTAGAAAAGGTGTGGCAAGGATGGTCCCACTTTTAGGGAGGGTCTCAACCAGTGAGCATCCCTCATCAGGAGCCCAGGGGGGTGGGCACATATGGCAAAGGTTGGGGCAGGAAAGGCCATGGTGTTGCAAGCACGTCATTTCCCCCCACCCCAGCCAGCACCTTGTCCTTAGGGGCACTGGCCAATGTTTGCTGAGCCGCTGGGCAGTGGCAGAAGACAGCCTTAGAGTCTTCAGGTCAGTGGGTCATCCTGCCTTCAACATGGGCAAGGCCAAGTTAGGGGCTCAACTCACAGGAATCCCTAGGTGAGGGCAAATCAAGCTGTTCCCTTATGAAGTGAAGGCAATAAATCCTGGCCTGGCCATGCCTAACAGCCTCCCCTGTGAGGACACCATAGATGCAGACCATCTGAAAGCTGAGCTGGAGGCTCTTCTAGGTCTTAGGGCTGCACTCAGGGGGCTAGGGAGCTCTGGGCGAAGATTCTGGGTCACACTTTCCTCATAGACACAACGCTTTCTTGGGCTAAGGCAACCCTGACCCCCAGAATCATTTCAACTGGAAGATGTCTAAAACGTTCGTACTATCTGAGGTATCCCTCCAAAATACAAGATTAAGCAAGATACTTATTCCATCTTTCCTTCATGTTCAGCAAGACGATGTTTATCTAAATTATGATTTAAGTATTTGATGGAACAGCATAAAAGACATTGTTAAAATATTATGTAGAAAGCTATACAAATGTTTATGAAAGTTATATGAAAAAAGGAGAAGAAAAATGAGCGTGATATAAACATTTCAACTAAATTGCCGACAAGGGCTGGAAAGGAAACAGAACAGTGAAAATTGGTGGGTGTTGGATGGTAGAACTGTGAATCAATTTTCAAAAACTTCCTTGAAGTTGTTACAATTGCTGTTTGTGCCTTATATTTAAAATAGAGTGAAAAAGCCAATGAAATGCATTAGTGCTAGAAATACCAATTTCAGAATCACCAGCTTGGACGAGCTCGTTGGAAGCCACGAGAGTAGGTAAGATGACTGAGAAAGGATGTATGGAGTGAAGAGGGAGAAAGCCTACATATAGGGGCAGAGCAAGGAAAGACAGACAGGAAGGCAGCAGCAGAGCCACAGGGGCCCGGAAACACTGGTGGCAATAAAGGTGTGGTAGGAAGCGTCAGTGGCACTGGGAGGCTGAGGAAGCTGGCACAGTGAGGGGAGCTCGGGGCCTTCCCTGGGAAGGAACGGTGACCTCAGGAAAGACAAGTTAGGGGATTCCAGTGACAATGAGGTTATGTTACCAAATTCTCACAACCACATGAGGCAGGCCCTATTCAGTTCGCCTTTATTCCCAAGTTCTCAGTGAAAGGGAAGGGTCCTTAACGTGTCTACAATGTAAACTGTGTGTCACAGGCCCTCATCTACTCACCTGACTGCCCAGGAGGAGGGATGCCACCAAGGCCTCGAGGCAGCCTCACAAACACGGAGAGGACAGCAGCTTTGTTGCCAAAACATGGCTCCAGGGCAATGGGTTTAGGAACAGTCTGGTGGGAGAAAACAAAGAATTAGCTAAAGCTGTGTTTCTCATGCTTCAATGGTGCAGCATTTACATGTGATTTTTAAAGATGTCTTCTATATTAGTTTCTATGGCTGTGTAACAAATTATAAATTTAGTTGCTTAAAACAGTATCTATTTATTATCTCTGTTTAGTAGGTCAGAAGTCCAGGTGAGCTCTGTAGGGTTCTCTGCCTACGGATACAGTACTATTCATGTCTTCCATTAGTTCTGGACAATTCTCAGCTCTTAATCTCACAAGGGGGAAGGTCTAGTATCAGCTGGTCTCCTCTCTTATCCGGAGGCTCTGGGGAAGAATCTGCTCCAAAACGCATTCAGGTTGTTGGCAGAATCCAGTTCCTTGTGGCTGCAGGCCTGAGGTCCCCATTTCCTTGCTAGTGGTCAGCCAGGGGCTACTTTCTTCGCTTAGAGGCCACTTGCTTTCCTCCTTATATGGCCCCTCCAGCCTCAAACCAGCAATGGCACGTTAGATCCTTCTCCTGCTTCCTCTTCTACCAGCCAGAGAAAACTTCCCATATATTAGGGTCAGCTACCCTGGTGCTTTTATTACATCTGCAAAATCCCTTCACAGCAGTATCTAGGGTCTGACCGACTAACCATGAGACAGGAAGGCTGGAGGTCACATTTAGAATTCTGCCTACCATACTTGCAAGCATGTCAGTGATCTCTTCAGTTTGGTTGAAGGAAATTATTTCCAGAACCCCCCTGGCTGTGGCACAGGAAAATGACTGGATGGGTGAGATGGCAGAATTGGGGAAACCAGTTATGAACAATTACAATAATCCAGGTGAGCTAGCAGGAAGCCACCAGATCAAGGTGGTAGGTAACAGTGGTGGAGGTGTGCACACTGGCCAGGCAGTATTTTTTTTTTTTTTAAAGATTTTATTGGGGAATTAGGGAAGGAGAATAGACAAGTTGCTGTCCTTTTGTTCTTCGGTCTAGTTGTGGAGGGCGTTGCTTCACTGGCCCATGTTGGTATTATGATCATTGCGCTCTTCCTGGGTGAGGCAGATGGGTTGCCGGCCATTGGACAACCGCTCACGGCAGCTGGCCACTCACGCTGGCTGCCGACCACTCATGGTAGCTTACGGCAGCCCACTGCAGCCTACACCGTCTCCAGTGACTCACGGCAGCCCAGCTCCAGGTCAAGCTGTTGTTCACCATCTTTGTTGTAGAGGGCGCAGCATCACTTGGCCCATGTGGGATCCGAACCGGCGGCTCTGCTGCTCAGAGCTCGTGCTCCCAAGCCAACTCTTAACCAACAAGCCACTCAGCTGGCCCAGGCAGTATTTTTTAAGATAAAGCCAAAAAAGATTTGCTGACACACTGGCTGCCCAATGAGAAAGAGAGCAAGGATGAGTCAAGGATGATTCCATGATTTTGGCCTCAGCAACCAGGATGATGGAGGTGACATATACTGAGTTCAGAAAGATATGCCAGAGGAGCAGATGTGGGGAATAATACAGAGTGCTCAGTTTTTGACAAGTTTGAGTTGCCTGTTAAGACATCCAAGTGGGGACACTGAGTAAACAATCTGATATGCGTTGGTAGCCCATGGTAGAGACCTGAGTGGAGAGCTCATGGTGTTTAAATCCATGATGGGTAAGATCATTGCTTTGGTCTGAATGTTTGTGTACTCCCCAAATTCATATGTTAAATCATAACGCCCAATGTAATGGTATTTGGAGATTGGGTCTTTGGGAGATGATTAGGTCAGGAGGGCAGAGCTCTCATGAATGGGGTTGGTGCCCTTAGAAAAGAGACCCCAGAGAGCTCCCTCACCCCTTTCGCACACTGTGTAAGGATTATAGCTAGAAGGCACCATCTATGATCCTGAAAGTGGGCTCTCACAAGACACTTAATCTTCCAGTACCTTGATCCTGGGCTCCCCAGTCTCCAGAACTATAAGAAATAAAGTTGTTTATAAGCCACCCCATCTACGGTATTTTGTTATAGTAGCTCAAACAGACTAAGACGATCACCGAAGGAGTAGGTTTAAAAGGTGTGAGAAAGGCCCAAAGACTGAGCCCAATGTACACTACTGTTAGATGTTGGGACGATGAAGAGGGTGAGCAAATACTAAACAGGAACAGCGGGAGTTGAGTGTGTGGTGTCCTGAAAGGAAAATCAGGAAAGTGTTTAAGGAGTAGCCAACTGTGTTGCATGCCGGTGACATATGACACATGGCCTTGTTCATTAGTTTATGTTTGTCAATTCTTTTTTGTTTGTTTGTTTGTTGTTATTTTTTTTAAAGATTTTTATTGGGGAATTCGGGGGATGGGAACACCGCTGGGGAATTGGGGGAAGGGGAACAGACAAGTTGCTGTCATTTTTTT